GCAGGAATGACAGTACATCCTCATTCCTGTCTTTCTTCCTCTGGGCCTTAACACAGGTCTCCTAACCCTGCTGCTTCATGCCTTCTACTTCTGTCCAAGCATCTTTTGGAAGGAAAGTAAATCCTAGCCTTTTAGAATCCTGTTTTCCATGCAAAAATCCTCAGTACCTTTCACGGACAATCCTTAGCGTTAAGTACAAGATTCTCTTAGATTAAGAGTTTACCTTGTACTGTTCTGAAGGCATAGTGATTCTTCAAATAGCCTAGGAAACAATTTTGAAATTCACACACTTCAGGTTTTATTTTTTTAAATAAGACAACACCATAAAAACAATGCCAAGATAATTATATTACATGCTTAAAATTATGCTGTCAGATATTTTTGGTCCACTCTCAGATATATCACAACATCCATTTTCAAAGATTCTGCATTCCACCAGTTTTGTCTTTAATCCTAGGAGCAGCTCAGTCAGAAAAGTGCCCTTTAGAGTTATGCTACAGTCACACACAGACACACACTCACGCACACACTCATGAGCCACAGGTACAATTATGCTTCCTTTCAAAATGGATGGATAAGCAAGCCATTGCTCTTCCTTTCAAAACAAATAAAAACTGAAGTTGTGGGGTCTGTGATGTAAGTCAACATAGAAAGCTCTCAGATAACCTCAAGGAGCCATTCCAAGCTTGTCCACAGGGCAACCTTTCCTTTACATTTTCCTTGAAAGCTACACGAAAAGGAAAAGCTCCGAGCAGCACAGTAGTCATGCTAGCAGCTCGGTTTTCTAACAATTTGCCCTCTGTCATTTTATACCTAATTTCAAAGCTTTCCTTAAGTTTTCAATTTGTCATGTTATAATGATTTCTACTTCTTCACCCCTTGGTCACTTTGGCCCCTTCCCTCCCCCAGCTCTGGAGCTGAGGCTCCTTTCAAATGTAAATACACCCTGCTAGCTTTCCTGCTAATAAGGTGGTTAACTGGAATTTTCTCCAGTCTCCAAATTCCTTCTGCTTCCCCTCCCCTCCTAGACCAAAAGCAAGAGGGTATTTTATTTACCTCTGCTGGCCACACCCCTGATGTAAAAACAGTGCAATTTCATCTTCCTTCTTCCATCTTCAGGTGGGCAGGAGGGTGTATGGACCCTCTCTTCTGCTCACACAGCACCACTGTGCTAACCATTGCACCAAGATCCTCAGGCCTCTCCTGGCTGTGCCCATGCTGGCACAGCTTCTCTGAAGCATGTAAAGTCATCTTTAAAGAGTGGGATGGTCAAAGCTGGCCTGCAACAAGTACTTTCGCTCCTGACTTTATGTTGCTAAGCAGAGTTAGGTATGGCATTTGAACTATATAGACTCTGTGGCTATGCTCCTGAGTGCTTTCCATGGGACACTCACCACGGTGCTAGATCACAACACACAGCTCATTAGAGAAGGTAAAGTCCAAAGGCTTCAGCCAGGGTTTAGAAACATTTTAGACTTGTGTGAACTGACTTCTCAAACCCATTGCCCAACCCATTGCCCAATATTTGCCACTTCCACAATGGGGGCTTTAGTCCCACTACTTCACTCCCGTTCGTGTCAAAAGTTTCCTCATCAGAAATCATCTCACTTTTCTACTATCTTTTTTCCAAATGAATTAAACTATGTTTAAGGATTCACTCGAGGCTCAACGACTCTACAATCACGCCTCTTTGCTGCACCTAGAGAGTCCTTCTCTTCCTGAAAGTTCTCAAAATTTCGGCTGAATATGGCTTCAACCACACACCACTTTGTGTTCTGGCTGTGACAACACACTGTAATTTTTACAGGCCCCTCTGAGACACTCACTGCTTTGAAAGGAAAAACTCATGTCTGTGACAAACAGCACCAGAGCAGCCTATACAGAGCCATGTCTAAGTTTTCCACATAGATGGTGTTTTCATTCAATCCTGGCTCCACTTACATTTTGTTTATTTCATCTATTGAGAAGAGAATCCTCATCCTTTGTCCTCCATCTCTCCAAAGGCAGTCTCTCCAATAAACCCTTCCAAAGATTGTGATCTAACTCCCTCCATCCCAGGGCATGGTGCTGAAGGATACAGGCCTGGCACACGGCTTTAAACCTAGTTCTACAGTTCATTATTTGTTGATATTGGGCAAAACACTTAACCTTCTTCAGCCTTAATTCTCTAGGGGGAACATGACAGTGACATCTAATTCATGGGATCACATTCTTCCATAAGGATAAAGTAAGTTAATTTCTGAAGTTCCTAAAAGAGTACTGCCATATTATAAACACCCAGCCAAAGCAAGCCCTCCTCCAGCTTTCTCTCAAGGCTAGCAACCCCCACTTGGCAAAGATTACTTTGACAGTTGGTGACACACCTTTTATTGTTGCTAGAACTTCCATTTAAATCAAGTGTTATTGATGGATTTTTAATAGGGATATCTTATTTTCTTAAATAAGCTGCAAGTCTCTGGAGCGTTGGTGAACTCTGATTATTGAACATATTCTACATGCCAAGAACTTGGCTGAGTGCTCGCTATAAATATTTCATGCATTACTCACAATCACAGTATAGGGTAGTTATTGTTTCCACTCTGTAGATAAAACAGCACCAATGAAGGCTTAGGGAACAGTTTGCTCAAGCTTTCGAAGCCAGTATGTCATAAAGCTAAGGTAGTGCTAAAGGGTCATTTTTATTTGTTTTGTGAGTGGGTAATGTTTATCCACTGTTACAGTTGTTGTGGTTGCTTAAGTTTACTTTATTACTGCAGATGCACGATATCTGAAGCACATATACCAAGGCTTTAGGTTTTCACTTAATATTTCTTAATTATAGATACCTTACTTTTCATCGTTAACGTGTTTTAGTTTATCTTGGATTCTAACACACACCCTCCTCCCATCACCATGAAGAGAGAACAATAAACTTTTAGTAGACTCTGATATAAGCAGACACCTTGGCTTTTGTTTCTGTCTTACTCTTTTCCATATGTTTGTGCCAATTCCCATAATCTTATGTTTAGCCTTACCATTTTATTTCTTCGGATTAATGTTGTTTCCACAGTGAACTTTCTAGTGTTGAAAGAAATGCTAGGGAACATTTGTTCCACACCTTTAATCACCAAGGTGAGAAACCAGGCTCAGGCGATAGAGGGACCTGCTAGCAATTCTTAGCTAATCAGGGCCACAGAAGGAACCAGAATCAGATTTCTTTTTTCTTTCTTTCTTTTTTAGATTATGTTTCAACATTTACTTGATGTTCTGTGTGTGCAGAGGTGCAGAGAATGGGCTTGGAGGACATGTGAGCCACAGCATGCTTGTGGAGGTCAGGGTACAACTCCCAGCAGTCAGTTCTGTTTCACTATGTGGGCTCTAGGGATTAAAGGGTTGTCAGTCCTGGTGGCATGTACCTTTAACCTGTTGTCATCTTGGTTGTCAACATGACTCTCTAGGGACGAGGAAACCCTAATTAAAGAATTCTCTTTCATCAGACTGGCCTATGTGCCAATCTGTGGCCAACGTGTCTATGGGTAAGTTTCCTGATGGCTAACTGAGGTCAGAGGGCCTCGCCTGCTTTTGGTGGCACCATTTCTAGGCAGGTAGGGTTGGGCTGTGTAAGAGAGGTGGATGCAGCCTGGTAGCAAGCCAAGAAGCATTGTTCCTCCATCATTCTTGCGTCAAGCTGCTGGCCCTGAGTTCTTGTCCTCAGTGACAAACTAACCTGCGAAATCAAAGAAGCCATTTCCTCCCCAAGTTGCTTTAGGTCATGGTGCTTATCAGAGTAACAGAAAAACAAACTGGAAGACCAGCTGAACCATCTCTGCAGCTCCAAAATCAGAGTTCCTCATTCCTGCTTCATAATTTTCTTTGAGCTAAATTACACTGATATCTGTGTACATGAAGTGTGTACTTTTGATATCCCAATAACTCCTATTCCAACCATTCCCAGCTTTGGGTCCGCAGCCCAGTTCACTTTGTATCCCGAACAGAAAGTTAAAGAAAGAAAATGAAGATAGGAAGTATTTAAGAATGCAAAAACCTGTTCAGTTCTCTACCTTTGATCCTTTATTCATTACTGTGACCCCCATGGCCTTTCTTCAAGAACCTACTCAGAAAGTATTTTGTGACAAGACCAACACAAAGTAAAGAATGAATGTTTAGAAACTATTATGCCATTTAAATAATGGGTAAACTCAGTATCTTTAAAATGTAATCATAAAACTTGCTTTCCTGTGTCACCCTTTAATACGTTACAGTTTTAAATTTATTTTCCCAGAAATTTATTTTACTTACATGCTACAAAAATGCCATTTTTTATGAAACTGGAAGGCAAACAATCTCTGTACTTAAGACTGTTCTAAAGGGTTCATGTACAAGGATGACCAGCTCATTTATAAAGCATGTCCATTCTTCATAGTGTCTAAGATCTGTGCAATCTGACCTGAGAGTTCGCAGGACTCTCACCTTTTCCTCCAAGTGCTCATCATCACTTGTGTGCTTGTGTCATCCCTTCTGCTTTACAATTCCCTTGAAAAGTTGTCTCCACACAAAGGACATAAACCTCCAACTTGTACTAATGGAATAGAAATAACATTACTGTAACTAATTGTTCACAGTTTTGAAGAGGGAAGAAGTAAAAAAGGAAAAAAATCAGAAAGATATAATATTTTTCCTCTGGAATTCAGTCCTGGTAAGACTCGGAGAGAATAGAGTTAAGCCATATCAGATTCCACACTTCACACATAAATGTTTAGAGCTACAAGGACACAGTATGACATACTTTGGCCTTATGCAAAGCTAATGAATAGTAGAAATTGTGCCTTAATTTTGCCTGTGAAATACCTCTAAGAACCACTGAGGTTTTATTTCTAGTTCAAGCTCTTCGAGTTCCCTATTTGTGGTGATCTACTCAAAGACGAACACTGGTGCGGGCACAGTGCTACCTCTCCTGCAGTGACTGTGAACGCTGCCTCAGTGGGGCTGATGGCAACTCATCAGCTCTAGGCCCCACTCACCAAAGTATTCATCAGCGGGTGGGTTTTCCATGTCATACAGCATCTTCTTGGTCAGGTGCTCGAGCTCATCTTCTGGGCGGAACGATGGGGGGACAGCAGGAGGTCCCATAGGTCCAGGGTGTCCACCCTGAAGGGAAGAAAACATATAACCATTTAATCACAATCTAGACATCCACTGCAGCAATCAGCTCAGCCGAGGAGGATTCGTACTGGGGAGGGAACACCACATGTCCATCCATCTGTAGACTTATGCTGTGCACTGAGATTCACTATTTACTCCGTGTCTGACCCTTAGCATTCACTTTATTCACTCGCCTTCTCTAGATGAATCTATTATACATTAGAATCTGTGTTTCCAATTGCAGCAATCAAATATTTCAATAACTGCTCAGAAGTTGCCACTTTATCGTTTGTGCATTAACTAGCAAGATGACCAACAAAGACCATACAATGGAGATGAAAGCCTGCAGGCACATCAGTAAAGAGCATCTGTTGAGAGTGCCCTGTCAGGGGTTAAGGGAAGCTTCCTAGGAGAGAACTCAGAGAAAAAATAGATAAGACTTCTTAAACCCAGGCGAAAAATCCGAGGTGCGATGGTGTGATAGATAGCTCCCAGTCACTGCAGTTTCCCCGCTCAAATTCAACATTTGAGATGGGAAATGAGATGAGTCTTATTTGTTCCTGGGATCTAAAGAGCAAAAGGATTTTATTCCAGTTAAGGAAGCTGAACAATTTTCCTTCCCAGAGCTGCAAGCAGGCGGGCATCAGATGGGGCGAGTCGCTGGGGCTGGTCAAGTAGGCAGGTAAGACTGAAGAACCTCAATGTAAGAGGATGAAAATTTGGGCAGGAAAGTGGAAATCCCAATGTGTGCAAAGAAAGGCAGGTCAGATATTTGAAGCAAAGTAGCTTCATGCTATATGCACGAAAGAGAGCTGGCTAAATTTCCCTTTCCTACATTTTAATTTGTCATTGTCAATAGCACCCAGCATCTTTGATTAGAGAATTATGAAATGAAAAATGCTGTTATTAACAGTTTAGAAATGAGGATAGCACTAGCCACTGTCAATGGGCAGAGAGGTAGACAAGAGTATGCTTGCAACAGTTGGCACAGAGTTTCTGTCTTCAGAAACTGAGTGACATGTGACATGTGCACAAAATAACGCTGAAAAATTGCAAGTGGAACTACAGTTATGCTGGAAACCAAACCACTATTTATTACAAGTTATGTCTTATGATGAAGAGCCTAGATGGTTTCATACCTGAATTTTGTCTATGAACCTCTCCTCCCACCCTCTCCCCAATTCAGTATATAACACTGAGCCCCCGTGGAATGAAGGCTGGGAAACTGCAATATTCCTTAGGTCAGAGTTGACTTTTTACCCAGAGATAGCCTACAAAACTATCTGAGTTCACTCCTGTAAGAAGTTCAGTATTTTGCTTTTCACCCTGATAGGCGGGTTATCTCTGTAATTTCTCCCTTCCAATACAGATCAAGGTTCATGATGTCTTATTGAAAGTGGACAACTATGTTCAACTTACTAATTTTCAAAGGAGCAGTTCATAGCACAGGTTAACTTGAGAAGGGTCACGGAGATGGAATGATTTTGACTGTCTTCTGAGTTCTTCATTGCGAACTAGAAGCGTGAACAGTGGTGGTGAAACATTCACTGTGATCCAATGATTCCTCACTTGCACGGTCCTTCCCAAGATGCTTGCTTTCACATGTAAGCACTCTCAGATGCTTAGAGGATGGCCCTCTCCGCATGTAAGCCTGCTTTGCAGATGAGAAGACTGCACCGGGAATGCAGGCAAGTGTGCCCTCCTTTGGTGGACCACCTCTGAGAAACAGCAGGTGCAAACTCCAGGGTGGACCAGGTGGGGTGCTTATGTGTTACACAGCAATACATCTCAGAGTCTTGAGAAAAGAGATGTTCTTTCAAATATTCATATTAATTACCAGTATTGTGTTCTTTGGAATGCCTGAATCACTTAGTGAAGAAACAAGAGCATCCTAGGCTATGCAGGTGAGTTGTCAAAGGGATGGACTTCAGACAACTCCAAACTTTTCTGAACCTTCACTTCCTTAAAAATTGCTAAGTGCCAAGAACTATAAATACCATCTCAAATTATTGAGACTGTCTACCTCTGACAACTTAAGAGCAGTAGAAGAAAAAGATCCACAGGAGACCACGACAGAAATGTGTAAACACTAAGAAGCAGTACCCTGGCATGCCAGGAGCAGGCTGCTGGGAGCCAGGAACCTTTGTTCTTGAAGGATAAATTAGATTTCCCAAGGCAGAGAAAGGAAGGGAAAAGGAAAGGAGCACAGAAACAAGGAACATGGAACAAATGGCAAAACTTAAGAGAGGAAAAGAGCCATAATGAAGACAGCAGCCAATGCCAAGTCTTCATTTTAGGGAGGAGAAAATTATTCTGAGATTTTCAAGTGGTAGTTACCTTTGTTAAAGTTATGCTCACAGCGGAACAGTTTTACATCACAAGGTTATTTAAAAACGCCGTCAGGATTGGGCGGATGGCTCAACTTCCTCTGCCACCATGAGAACTTTAATTCAGTCTCTAGGAGCTACGACCTGAGTTCCATCCCCAAGATCCACGTGGTCGAAGGAGAAAAAGGACACTCACAAGTTACCCTCTGACCTCCACATGCACACCACGACACCCTCCTCCAAATAAAGAAAGAAATGTAAAACAAAATAAAAAACATCCAGCAAGGTAGCTCGGCACTAAAGGGACCTGTCCCCCAGTATGATCCTCTGTAACGTTTATCCCCAGCATATACTCATGGTAGAAGGAAAGAGCCCACTCCCTGGAGTTCTCCTCCAGTCTCCATGTGTGTGCCATGGCCGATGTGTTTAAAACAATAATAAAACACAAAGAAACACGAGCTTGAGGACTAGGAAGTAATGACACCCACGGTTATACTCTGGCCTCTATACCCATGCACATATGAGTGTGTACATGTGCGAGCACACACACACACACACACACACACACACACACACACACACACACAGACATGCATGCACACACAGTGAAAATACCGCCAAAGTTGTACTCTACACCCAGGTGCAATGACTACATGCACCTGTGAGAGCGCGTGCGCACACACTCGCGTGCGCACACGCATGCCCACGTGTATGGACATACTACAAATTTACTCAGACAGCAGGGTATTTCTGGGCAACATGTAGGGAATACAGTTTTAAAGAACTTCGGCATTTACTCGGGGTGGCTAACTACGGCTTTCTTTCCTGTCCTTAGGCTCACATGAAGCCTTGCAGACTCCCAGTCAGAAGTGGCCAGGTGAGGCACGAGAAGGTAGAGGCTTAGTGTTTCAATTACTGGACACTGATACCTTCGAAGGCCAATGCTGAGTGGTGTTATGCACTTGCATGTGTGTGGATCTATATGTGTACATGTGTGTATCTATATGTACATGTGTCTGTCTATCTATCTATCTATCTATCTATCTATCTATCTATCTATCTATCTATCTATCTATCTGTAATTTCTCAGATAAAGGATCCAACTCTTTACAGGTTCTGGTCTGCACCCTTAAACTGTTGCCCAGGCAAGTGTCCTCAGAGAAGACATATTAGGACGGCAAATGTACCCTCCCGGGCAAGTCTATGTTTTTGCTGAGTGTTGTGGGTGGGGGTGTACAATACAAATGGGCAGAATCCTTGCTGAACCGGGAAGTTTGGGCATATTAATAATACAGCGAGCAGCAACTTCTCCGGAGCACAGTCACATAACATTTCAATATGCTTGAAGTAGTTTGTCTAGTCTTACACAGGATATGAGTATATTATTACAAGGTTACAAAGCTGGCGGGAGCCTCCTTAAGACTTTTCTGTCTTTAATCTGACTAAAGGCCTTTACTGAATTATTTTCATTTTCTGGGCCTCGGTTTCTCCACGCATGAAATCCCATTCTCAAAGATTCCTTGATTCTGCTGCACCATATATTTGTGATCATAATGTAGTGTGCCATTGTCCACCTTGAGAGTGAAATGGCACCTCTCTATATTTAGAGACAGTTTATAGTCTGTGAAAAAGGATGCACACTGAGTCAGTGGAAAGCTCATTACTATAGATGTTTCCATTGTGAGAGGACGTAAACCACCTGTCAGCATCCTCTGAAGCATCCAGAGCTTCATTCAGTGTTCCGAGTCTGAGTAAGCAGCGGGGAGCCTGGAGGGTTTCTGCAACCTACTGAACTTTCACTACACGCCGCTTTCGAAATCAGGAACCTATGAAGGTTAACCACTTTATCCCCCATGCCCTTTCCTTGGGTAGAGAAGGAAAGTTTCCAACAACACCCATTTTGGGGAGGTAGGGGTGGTGCATCAGCCTCTCAAGTTACTGGTGATGAACTTGCTTTGGGTCAATTTTCTTCTGTGTCCTTACCTGCTGTTGATTTCTTACCTACAAAGGACTACACACCTGAACTTACCAAGTCAGAATCTTAGAGAACTGCACTATCCAGGGAAATAAAACTGCAGGAAAAGGCAGCCAAAATATACAGAAAGATTCTATGATAATGAATACTCTATCATTTTTGGTAGCAAAGATGCTCATTTTTCTTGTCCATTTGTAATGATGTACAAGAGGTTCCTTCTCTTAGAAGGAAAATGACTTCAATTATGTGTTCTTGTAAAAAGAAACATTGAAATTATCTTCTTTTCAAAAGGTAGAATTAGCCCCATTTTAGAGCTGAAAGCCTGCCAGAATATATATATATATTTTCTTTTTTTTTTTTTCCTGATAGCGTCCCCCCCCCCCCAGCATTTAGCTGTGTCAAGTTTGCACTTTGCAATTTCCTATGGCTTCTTCTACTTCTAGATTCTTACTAAATGTCCCTCTTTACTCTTCATGCCTCCCTGTATAAAAGGAGGAAGGCGGACGGTATCCTGGGATGCCAGTTGTGTGTTGGGTTATAGCAACTGACACCAACAGGTCATGGGGAAGCCATGTGGTAGGAGAGGGAGACCTGCCTGATCATTGCCAGCACGACTCTAAAACCTCTGCTCTGTCCTGTCCTTGTCCTCATGCCCTGTATTGTTATCTTTAAACCACAGTTCTCAAGCCAAAGATGCAGTCCCT